TATTTTCCTAATTATTTATAAAGTTTGCCCGTTTAAAACTTGAATATCAAACTAGCAAAATAAAATGAGAACGAATAATCTATATTTAATAATTAGTTTTTGTGCGGTTATAGTCTTATAAATATTTTTCTTATTCTTAACAAAATTAAGGGTTATTTTAATATATGCTTATAGGTATAAATTAAAATATACCTAAAATTAATAATTCTTTAAAATTGTAGTTATTAACTGCATTGTTCGGTAGTCTCATCTCATCATCATCTCTGATGTGGCTAAACTATCACTCCTCTAAAAACACGAAATAATCATTTTTTAAGATGGCTAACAACTTTTCCATCTAGAGAGAAAAAAAACTCGAAAATGAAGTTAAAGAAAGAAGAAACCTCTTAGCAAATTTTTATTTTTATTTAAAAAAAAATTCTCGCTTTCTCAAATCTGTGTCCTCGTATAAACTCACGTAAACTGAAACCAAGAGATCGTAGCTTTCCCTTTCAATGGTGATGGAGGATAACCAGAGCTGCGGAAGCAGAGCGCAGGAGCTGGCCTCGCCGTTGCAGAGCCGGCAGCACCGCCAGAAACTCGAGGTTTACAATGAGGTGCTGCGCCGCCTCAAGAATTCCAACGATGAAGAGGCCAATCGCTCCGGCTTCGACGACGAGCTCTGGAATCACTTCAATCGTCTTCCTACTAGGTATACTTTTACCTTCCGTACAATCTAGCGCCTCTGTGACAATTCACGCGCATGGATGTATGCTTCCGTCTGTCTGTCTTGAATCCATAGAAAATGGTTTTCTATACACTTTTTATGCGCTTATCTGTCTCTTCGTGCGTGATTCTGTAGTGCAGTATTTGTTTGCTGATTTTTGAGTCTGTGTGTGGTAGAGATGTTGAATCTGTGCGGTATACTGAGTAGTTCTGGAATTTTCATTACCAATTTCCGGAGTTAATATTTGTTATTAATAATGTGTTCAGCTTGCATGTGAATTTAAGTTGATTTTGATCAGTGGATTAATGTTCTAGTATTATTTATTACTACTATTGGGTCGGTATGGATTTGAGATCAAGTTAAATGTAACAGATTCGGTGATATTTCTTCATCGTTTCTGGAATTTCGTTTGATTTTCTGTTTTTTGCATTTTTTTTTTCCTTTTTGCAGTTATATTGTGATTTCCAGTGATTGTGTCTTGCATTTGCAGATATGCATTGGATGTGAATGTAGAGAGGGCAGAAGATGTTCTAATGCACAAGAGATTACTCTATTTGGCTCATGATCCTGCCAATAGGCCTGCAATTGAAGTCCGTCTAGTGCAGGTAAGTTGATTACTTGATTTTGTTCAGTTATTGATAAGCATTATCTAGATTTTCGAGCAATTATGTTCTCGTTTTGTCATTTTAGTGCTATGTTTAAATTGTTACTTGCATGAGTGAGGTGATGCTTTTTGACCTGATAATTTTGGAAATTGTACTGGTTACTTCCCAAATTCATTACCTGTCTTTTCAGACTATTAGAACCATTCACTTTCGAAGTAGTCTTTGATGTTGGTTGTATCCAGAAAACCTTTGAAGATTGAATGTAGTTTACTAGTTTTTATTTATTTATTTATTTTTATTGTGAATTCTAATTTTGTGTCAAATTTAATATGAAAATCTCTTTCTGTGTAGCTTCAGTCCATTACTGATGGGATTTTAGCTGATTCCAATCTTTTAGACTTTGTGAGTGAAGTAGTTCCCCAGCGTCCTCTAGAATCGTCTAACAGAAAGAGGTGTGTGTGTTTTTTATTATTTATTTATTTTTATAACACTTTACTAGTCAGTGTAAGTATAACAGTTTGTTGAAAATGTATTGATTTGATCCAGCAAAATCCATCTTGTAATGGAAGTTGTAAAAATCCCTTTCTTTTCTCAGTTTTTCAGTTCATTTAATACCTTGACTGGTGGTTTTAATGATACTGATCATTCTTGCTGAGTTTTCAATTGTCAGCATACACCCACCACCTGCCTTTGGCTCATCACCTAATCTTGAAGCCCTTGCACTAGATGCAAATAAATTTGACAATGAAGATGGGGATAGTTCTGTACATGCCAATACAATGTTCACAAGGTAAATCTTCTGATGGTGCTCTCACGTTTGGTGAAGCAATATAACCTTGTTTATATGTTTTACATTCTTTTGTGATTACTGCTGCTGTAGGCCCATGCATGAAATTACATTTTCAACAGACGACAAACCAAAACTTCTTAGTCAGGTATATCTTTGGTTTGCTTATTAAACCAAAAACAGTAAATTTTTATATTCATCTTATTACCTAGTCCTTTGCTTCTTTAACTTGCAGCGTTCATGATCTCTGCTGGTTCCTTCTACTTGTTTATTTATTCTTTTGATAAAAATGGTTGATTACACAGTGGATTTTATATACTCTTCTGGTTTATAGAAGTGACAGCTTATATTTAGTTGTTTTCTTTTCATATAAAGACAATTATTGTTTAAGTATCAACTTGTTCTTGAAGAAATTAAGTAGTAAGCCTTTGAGCTGGTATTTTTGGCCTGAATCTGAGCTTGTATTTGGAATTCATGATTTTTTAAACAATTTTTACTTCTTTCATGTTATATCATGTTGCTTCATGTTCTGCAGCTAACTCTTCCAATGTTTGTAGTTGACTGCATTACTTGCTGAGATTGGGCTGAACATCCAGGAAGCACATGCCTTTTCCACAGTTGATGGCTACTCCTTAGATGTTTTTGTTGTTGACGGTTGGCCATATGAGGTATTTTCTTTTGCATCTTTGAATGATATAGCTACATTAGATGGTGATCCTTTTTTATGGTAGGATAGCATCCTTTGATGGTGTAGAAAATAAAACCTCTGGCCATTAGGATTCTATATTTTATACTAACATTTTCTTTTCTTCTGCTTAGATAATGTTGGTTACCTAGCTACATGGTTAGTACTTAGTTGTTTTGATATCACTGTTCATTCCTGTAACTCTGTTGGTTATCCAAACTATTTGGTCAAAAACATTTTTGTAGGAACCTTCTTGACAGGCTTGTGGTTTGAAATTTTCAGGAAACTGAGCAGCTTAGAATTGCTTTAGACAAGGAAGTTTTAAAAATCGAGGTAATTCATTACTTATTATTGCAGTGTTAAGTCTGAAACTTGAGTGCTATCCTGGTATTAGTTCTTTAATATTTCTGTCTGGCTAAGCTGTTTCTTTTCCAACAAATTCATAGTGTCAAATTTGCTAGCATGAGTTCTACTTTGTATAATCATTCCACCTGTATAATTGCTTCAGCTATGACTAAGTTAATTGTTATATTGGCATACCATAGGTGGAGATCTGATCTGATAAAATAACAAAATTAACTGTTTACAGATTTTTGTTTATTCAGGCTACAGATCTATAGCTCCAAATCCTTATTGGTTATTAGATCTCAATGCTTAATATTTCTAGAGAAGTTGAATTTGTAAAATAAAAGCTTGTTCTTATACTAATGCAATTCATTTTGAATGGGTTGTGAAGCAGAAGCAATCTTGGCCAAAGCAACATTCATTATCTCCTAATTGTAATGAGAGGATGGAGATCCAACTTAATCCTAATCATGTGGCAATACCTAATGATGGGACAGATGTCTGGGAAATTGATCCTGAACACCTGAAGTTTGAGAAAAAAGTTGCATCTGGATCATATGGAGATCTGTGAGCTAACTTTTTTGGGAGTCAATTCTTCTCGATTTTCTAGTGCTACCCTGACTTTGTCTTTAACTGGTTCAGGTATAAAGGAACTTATTGTAGTCAGGATGTGGCTATTAAGGTCCTCAAGCCTGAGCGCGTAAGTTCTGAAATGGAGAAAGAGTTTGCCCAGGAAGTCTTCATCATGAGGTTTGTATAAGAAATATGTTAAACTAATAAAATAATCAAAGTATAGCGCCTGAAAAAGTTCCACATCTCATTAGTGATCACAAAGAAATGCAATGCATGTTACATGCGTCACACTTTCTAATTTCTAGCATCAAGTCAAAATTTTCATATTAAGTTAGACAGAAGCAATTTTTACTCTTTTCGTGTGCCTTGATTATTGCAAATTCCTTAACCATTATAGTTTCTTTGAAATTTGCAGGAAAGTTCGACATAAGAATGTGGTACAATTTATTGGTGCATGTACCAAGCCCCCCAGTTTGTGCATTATAACAGGTCAGTTAACCATAAAATTTTAATAATATTCATTGACCTGATAAAATGTGATGGCAGTTGATTGGTCTATGTTTTCTTCTCTTTTTCTTCATTTTTTTGTTCCCACTCTTTTGGTTGCAGAATATATGTTTGGTGGGAGTGTATATGACTACCTACATAAACATAGGGGTGTGTTTAAGCTTCCATCCCTACTTAAAGTTGCAATAGATGTTTCCAAAGGAATGAACTACTTGCACCAAAATAATATAATTCATAGGGATTTGAAAGCTGCAAACCTTCTGATGGGTGAAAATGAAGTAAGATACCTCCTTCACGATATACTTTTAACTGTCTTCTTCTTGTGCTTCTTTGTTTTATATGTTACACGTACACTGTTTTTTTCCTGAAATGTGCACAAAATTCTTAAAATGAAGAAGTCATTTTTTCTTATTTGCCAATTCCTGATCAAACTTAGGCCTGATGCTTACATTCAAAGATGTGGCCAATGGTTGCTGTAGTTTTACACTTTGGTTTTTTTGTGCAATCGATAATGTCTCTTTATTTGAAATTTTATTATTTCAATTGTTTGCTACTATAATTTGTTGAAACCTCAGAAGTTTCGATTGATATAATGTCTTACCAAAGATGTGGACACTACTTTCTTAAGAAAAGAAGAAGGAGAAGAAGAAAAAGAAAGAGGACATGGAGTCTACTATTTTCCATTTTGTAATCTAAATTTGTCAAATAAATTTTTTCTCCAAGAAAGATTATGATATATAAGATAATAAATTATTTTTCTTTTATTTATCTCATTCCTTTTGGACCATTTCTATCTTGCAAAAGCCTAGGCTATACTTACTATCTTTTTTCTTACAATTTTCTGAAATTGACTTAAGCCAAAATGAAAAATGTTCTGAAGAGTTCCATCACATTGCTTGCACTACAGGTTGTCAAGGTTGCTGATTTTGGGGTTGCTAGAGTGAAGGCTCAATCTGGAGTTATGACAGCTGAAACTGGGACATATAGGTGGATGGCTCCTGAGGTGCATTTTTTATTTATATGCTATTAGAAGCTGTTTTATACACACTGATATCTTTCTTCTGCATGTTGGCATGAGTTTCAGTTCATTCTTTATGCATGTTGACTACAACA